TTGTACAGTACCCACCGGAATATTGGTACCTTTTGGGTAACCGCTAATTATCGGATGGCCGGGTGGATCTAAAAATAAATAAAAATTTTTTAATAAAAATACAAAAAATCTGTTGTAAATAAAAATTTTTTTTTTAAATAACAAACGTACACAAAACGTTGATCGTGTGCGTTCCGACAATGTTTTCAGTTAAGTGCATGTTCAAACCGTGGCAAATAACAACCAAAGATCTTTTATTCTGTCCAACTGTCACTGTTATATTTGAAGTACTTATCGAACCGCCGTTCGGTGACGGAGTTGTTATCACCGATGTGTTTCGCACTTGTCTTCCTGCAACCATCCATTTAATATCCGCTGGAGGATTACTGTTATCGGTCGTGCATGTCAAAGGCCCCTTATCCCCGGCTTTTGCTTCGGTTGGACCAGAAATAGTCACGTGAGCAGGTGCAACTATAAATAATAATCAAAAAAATAAATCATTATTAATACAAAAAAAAAAATGGAAACCGTCAAGGTGAATTTAACCCGCGTGTAACGCTTCCGTTTTTTTTTTTTAATTTTATTAATTATTTATTATTAATTAACATTATTTATTTACATTAATTTTTTTAATTATTATTATTATTACTTTTTAAAACTTTTCTCACGTGATTTAAAATAAATAAAAATCACTCACGCAAAATCTACAATTTAATTTAATTTAAAAAAAAAAATGTATTTTTTTTTTTCTCATCTCTGAGAGTTTTTTTTTTTTTACTTGAATTTTAAACGCGTTTAACAAAGAAAAAAAACTAGAAAAACAGGTAGTATCGACGAATGAATGAACGATTAAGAAAATAATAATAATAATAATAAATGTGTGTGAATTTGTATTTAGTTACCATAATAAATAATACTAACAACTAATTAGTTGTTCGATTTAAAAAAAAAAAAAGTTTTAGACATAAAAAAGTACCACAATAAAATTTCATAACTTTATTTTAAAACAAATAATTACGTAGATATTAAATTAATACGTTTCATAAAAAAACATTTATTTATGAAAAATATACATCGGATACCAATTAAATATAAATGTTAAGACTTCCGTTTTTTAAAAATCATAATACAAAATATCTTGTACGATAATGTACGTTTCGTGTATACAAAAAAAAGAAACAATACGTTTCCTTTAATTAGTCACGTGGTGAGTCATCATCATCATCAAAGGT